TCGAAGCCCGCGCCTCTGTAATACGCGAATAAAGAAACGCCCGATTGCTGCTGGAATGTATGATTCTCCCGTTTCCCTCCATCACTTCGCACATTCTCGCAGCGCCGTTATGCCACAATTTTTTCCATGCGCTTGACAGGGGCAATCGGGGAGACATGTATGATCTGTCCATGAATTCGATAGCGTTGCCGTGCCGGACTATTGTATTGTACACGAATGCAGGGAATGGATACGGCATTGGCGTGGCTAGAGTATAAGATTGCGAGACTGGGATTAGCTTGGAAAGCTTTGGTTGGTTGGTTGGTTGGTAAAATCTAAAATGCGCGGGAAGGAAAAGGGGCACGTGATTCTCTTCAAGCAATTCAACATCTACCCAGCTACCACCCACCCATTCCCATTCTCATTCCCATTCTCAATCTCAATCCCAATCCAAATACCCATCCCCCTCCCCCCCCTTTTAAACTTGTCGCACACAACTCACCCCCCCACTAAAATACACAAAAGAACCACCACAAAAACCGCAAAAAACAGAACCCGACGGGTCCAACGCGCTCCGTACCGCGCGCGCGTCACACAGCATGAGAAATCAATCACGTGGGTGTACTAGTGCAAGGTACGCGACCAACCAATCCACGCCGTGTCACCACACGCGAGCGAGGCGCAGTCGGGTAAAAGAGAAGAAGGAAAACACATACATGGGCGGTTGCATGTTGTGTTGGGCGCAAGGGTTGGGGTTTCTTGGGGGAGAAAGAAAGATGAAGCGATAAAGAGAAATGGGAAGGGGAGGCAAGGTATCAGAGCAGAAATAGGGTATCGTCTTTGTGCGTTGATTCAGTGTCTTGTTGTTTTTTTGTGTGTTGCGGAAGGAGGGGGAAAAGGGGAGTCTGAGATTCCTTCTGTGAGACTTCTTCCTTCTTCGACGTGTGCGACTTGGGGCTCACCGATCAGGCATGCTCGCATGTACACACGAGGAAAGGAAGAGAGTTAGACTTGGACTAGCTGGGTAGGTAGGTACTGCACTGTACTGTAGAAGAGTCGCAGCCAGAGTAACAACAGCAGACAATGGCACGTCAACCAGCATTAGCCCCCTTTGCGGCACTTGCAACCCTACCCTAACCCTACCGATACACTCTACCACCCACCAAGCCAACCAAGCCAGACAGGCAGGAAATTCCATCTTCAGCAACCTGCACCTCCTGCCAGCGCGCAAACCCGTAAACCACTACTAGCCTACGGTACCACGACGACAGCACGAATGATGAAAAAACAAAAAACAAAAAAAAATTACAATTTCTCCATGTGCTGCTGCAATATCTGCTCATGTCGTGCTACCCTCCAAAAACCCCCATTGCCCCAAAGAACGTACCATGTAGGTAAAGGCGGGTGCGCGCGCTGTAGGAAGGAAGGGAAGGAGTGAGTGCACGCTCCCGGCTCCAGCCACGGCCCGTACCGATGTGCGAGAGAACAAGAAAAAAACAACCAGCGTCGACTCTTGCCTTTGCAAACAAATCCAATGCCCTACCACTATACCAACCCTACCCTACCCTACATCCATCGCTGCACGCGAAAGCCAAGAACAAGGGCCGAACAAGGGCCGTCTTGACCCTTTCCCCAATTGGTCGAATAATCGACGGGGGGGGCGGGGAAAAAGCGACCAGTTACGAGTTCCCCATTTTCTACCTATGCCGGCACCTACTGTACAAGCGAAAAGAAGCCAATTTGCAAAAGGGAATGTTGAGCGAAGGTCAGGTGTAGCGCCCTGGGGTTTTGGGGACGGGGCTGCGATGGAAAGGTCGTACAGTGTGAGCTGTCACGAGCTGTCAGTCAAGGCGAGAGAGAGTCTTACTGCTTTTGCATTACGTCCGATTGCGCGGAGAAGGTAGTAGGTACAGTAGGTAGGTAGCAAAGAGGCAACAAAGCCTTGCTCGGCTGTCCAGAGCACTTCCGTCGACATGGTTGCAAGATTGCCCGCCTGTCCAGAGCACTTCCATCGACATGGCTGCCACGGAATGAATACCCTACCGTACCGTAGTCCATCGTCATCAACGATAATGCGCAGACTATTGTACATTGTACACAACGAACTAGCCAGTTCACGGCTTTGGGCGGCCTTGCCCGCTCCCATTTCCCTTAGACTTCCCGAAACACGGGGCCGCAAAGGGGAAAGCCCGTCTTGCTTTCAATGCAAAATCAGCTGAGAGTCTGTCCATCAAGGCATTGGAGCATGGTGCAATATCGAACAAGACAAGGGGGGGGAATGGGCGGATTTCCGGGGAATGGGGTGCTCGAGGCCAGATCTCAGTCTTTTCCCCTTGTCCACAATGATTTGTATTTGTATGGCGACGGCAGCGGAATCATGGCGGAACCATGATCAGCACAGTTGTGCTCGAGGTCTTGACTTTGATTTGCGCGAGGATGTATCGTATGGCTGTGCAGGGTTGTGCCAATGCTGGCTTGTGCGCCAAAGCGGAGACATGGTTTGGCGCAGAAGGGAATGGGGGTCAAACACGCCAACAACGTCTGATGCCATCCATGCACAGGTTCGGTCCTTCAGGGTTGGGCCTGGTAATGGTCGTGGTAGTGAAATCTCCGATGACAAGCACAAGTCACTTTCTCGTCGGCTTATGGTCTGATTTTGCATCCCTCTTGATTTGTCGTCGACATGCCGATAGCCGGCCCAGCTGCGGCAAGCACGCGATGAACTGACTAGAGGGTCTGTCGATCAACAGAACGTTTGTAATGCGACCGACTCATTTCACTTGGTCAATGACACCGATCGAGGATGATGCGCACGGGGCACCGCTATCGTAAATTCCTCAATCAAACCCACGCACGACCGGGTTCGCAGCCTCGGCAGCGAACTATACTAGGGCACCAATATAGGCGTACGAGAGCGTACGAAACCAAAACGTCTGTTTCACTTCCAATATACGAACGTACAGAGATTGCCAGGAGATGCAAGACTAGCGGGAGAAGCAAATGGTAGATCGTACAGAGGGTAGTAGCCCGCGTGAGCGGTAACAGTCTTTCTCCTTTGCTCAACGAAATAAAAAAATAAAAGATATGTGCACATTCGCCAAGGGGGGTATAACTCTGAGTGTTTAGGGAAAATATATAAGGGGGGAATATAAGTGAAAGGCAGTAACTCGAGGGAAAAGAAACGATGCTCACCATGCTCATGCACAAGTCCCAAATTAAAAAGAACCCTAAAGAAAGAAGATGGAAAGAAAGAAAAATCAAAGCATTTGTAAACAACAGGCACTGCCAAAGCCTGCAGCCTGTGCCCGGCTTGGTTCATATTCTGCCCTCGTGATTGGATCGTGTTGCACGACTCCTGTATTTCTGAAAGCCAGATCATGTAGATGAGTCATCGCATTTGTCTAGCTCCTGTGCATTGTGACATGGCGTGGACACAAGACTAACAGGTGCCCGCCCATCGAGGTTCAGTCCGACAATTCAATGGCGAATATCGACGCTTTCCACCTTGGTAGCGGCAAATTCGGGCTCCGATACGCGTCGCATCACGGATGGTAGGCTCTCGGATCTGTCCTTGATACGAAGCTTCTCCAGGAGCCTGCCAATGGCAACATACTCTTGTGGCTCGACCACGAAGCCGGCGTTCTGTGACTGGAAGAAGTTGATGACGAGTTGTAGTGCGCGTGCAGCCTCCTCTTGGGACGGTGTGGTGATTGGCGATGGTTCGTTGGAAGAGCCCTTGTCCTCTGTAGTTCCCGTCGTGCCCATGGGTACAGGAGGCGGTTGCATCGAGTTTGTGACCTGTGTTGGCGACAGAGACATGGTTTCATCTATGACTGGCAGGCCGCCGGGCATCTCTGCCATGGGGGAGTCGAGTGTGTTGCTACTGATGTATTTTGGTGTGAGGGCATCCGTCGAGCCGGGTGGGGACATGTACTGCTCCACACCAACGAGCATGGGAAAGGTCTGGCTGCGTGGTCTCTGGAAGTTGGCGCTTCCTGGCTGGCCACTGGCTGGCTGGCGATTTCCCACAAAGGGATTCGGGCCGCATGCAGAGTCGGGCGTGAAGAAGGGCGATGAGAGTGAAGTTGGACTGGTTGGACCTGCGGAAAAGGACGAAGGCGCATTATCGGTAAAGACGCTGGACAAGGAAGTGTTACTCTGTGAATGAAAGGGTCGTCGCTGATTGGAAAAATCGTATGTATCCGGACTCTCGGTCTTGAGATTCTCTTCGCTCTTTTTGGTCTTCATGCTCGCATTGTTGGGTGATAGGGCGCCGGGCGATGTTGGCGAAATGGCTCCGGGTGTATGATCGTTTGACGGTGGATTCGACGTACCCTCTGATTCTTCTGCTATCGACCCCTTCCTGGATCGGGCTCCCATGAGATGGTTTTTTTGCTTGAATTTTTCGAGCCAGCTGGTGCTATTCGTCTTCAAGTGGCTCTCGGAGTTGCCCACGGTCTGCGCGAAAAAGCGAGCCTTTTCACGAATGATGGCGTCTGACAGCGGAAGACCCTGTCTTTGATGGTTTCGCGCCCAGTTGGAGAGCGTGCGCTCAATATCTGGGAACTTGCCTTTGGATCTTTTGATGGGTGACCGGCTACCGTCGTCTTGGTAGAGGTACTTTTCCTTTTGACGCAGGACCTTGGAAACAGTGCTACAAGCGTGTCAGCGCGGCAAGAGACATGTCGTATGCAGTGGTACCTTCTCTCCACACCAAACATTGCTAGTCACCACGTTAGCAAACCAGGGCACTACTACGAAACGACAGTGAGCCTATGTAGCGTACCTCCAATCTCCGTTTGCTTGACAGTCGGATTCTCTTCATGATACTGGCACATTCGTCTACGATCCGAGTCGGTGAGCGTCTTGCGGGGAGTAGATGAGGTCCGTGAGTGCGTCGACGAAGCCGACACTGGTGTTGCTGATGCAGGCGTGATGGGAACGGGCGCCGAAGGAAACAGTGAGGGCTGATAGGTGGACTGGCTGGTCAACATGCTCGGCCATTGCGGCATTTGTGGCATGATGAGAGGCTGCAGCTGCGGATGTGTCGTTCTGGGCGTTGGATGGGATGGGTGGTGTGGTGGATGCATGCTTGTACCATAGATGGGCTCCATGGGCAGCGGGGCATAACCGTGGAAGCCATGGTACTTCTTGGACGGGCGATTGATGATGGTGAGGATTGTATCCCGCACCCTCGTGCCCGCCCGCATTGTGATCTTTCAAATGATCTTGGTGATGCTGCTCCTGGTCCATCTGAAGTTTGGCTCATCTTGGGCGTTA